CATGAACAAGTGTGAATCTCGAGATACAGCCATGGTAGTCTACACGGAGAATAATTCAAGTGATATGAAAGAACCTTATTCTCCAGTTGTATCTGAATATTTACCGAGTCATCACACAAGTCGTTCCTCAAGTCTAGTAAGAGAACTATGTTCTCCTTTGCCTTCGTCGCTGATTCATGATATGATAAATAGTCCTCAAAATGATTCAGAAAGTACCTTCAAATTTGAAACCCCTCTAAAAATGCATAGTATTGTAGATTTTATTGCATCCCCTTTAATTATCTACAAAAATATGAGCATTATTGACAACTCAAAAGAATTAGCTGATGATAGTGATATAATATCCCAAGTTAATTATTATAATAATGATATATATGAATCGAGGGAGTTAAACCATTATTGCCCTCAATAGATATTTCGTCAACTTCTATTAAAGAAAATTCTCTCAATTTGAAGAATTTACTACAAAACGCAGAAATCCCATTATCTTCATCTGTTACAAATACTGATTCAACTGTCACTGATATTATATGTAATATTACAGATACAAATAATTTTGATACAGCTGAAGCCACTAAGTCTCAACCTTTGCGCAAATAAATGAAGGAAATTTTAAGCCTAGGAAAAATAAATCAAACACTAGTGAATGGATATCTGTGAAGAGTAAGAAAGATAAAAATAAAGGTAAGGCTTACGAAGGTAAAAAAAAATACTATTTGTAGAAAAGCTATGAAAGATCCGTGTCCATGTAAAATGAAGCGTTTTGAAAAATTTTCTGATGAAGTACGAAAGAAAATTATTGACTTGTTCTGGTAAATAGGTAACCATGAAAAGCAGTGGTATTTCATTTTAAATAATACTGAATCAACAAATCCAAAGGTTATAAAAGTGGATAGGATACGAGATCATACTAATACTTTTATTTACTTAATGATTTCTTATATTTACGCGAACACTACACATTGATTAAAACTACTTTTACGGATTTTATCGCGTTTTATTTATATTTATTTTAATACCCGAAGTTTCGGGTGCTTTTCAGCACCCATGGTCACGGGGGACTGACGTCAGTCACCTCAGCCCCCCGTGACCATGGGTGCTGGAAAGCACCCGAAACGTCAGGTATTAAAATTAATATAAATAAAACGCGATAAAATTCGTAAAAGTAGTTTTAATCAACTTTCATTTACTTTTTGCCTTTGAATAATGACAGTGATTTAAAAACTAAGGTTTGTAAAACAATGTTTATAAATACATTAGGAACTAAAGAAGATCGAGTCATTTATACTGCCATGAATAAACTTTCTAATAATGAACAAATTTTAGAACTAAGAGGTAAGCATACGAACCGACCATGTAAAATTCAAGCTAATACTTTAGAGAGTGTAGTAAGTCCTTTCCTTGTATAGAGTCACATTATTTAAGAGGAAAATCTACTAGACAATACTTGTCCGAAAATTTTAACATTTCAAAGATGTATAGGCTCTATAAAGATTGGATGTCTGAAACTGAACATTAGTCAGTATCTAAATACACAAATATTGAATACTAAATTTAATCTTTCTTTTTATCGACCGAAGAAAAACATGTGTCAAATTTGCAGTGTATATGATATTGCTGATAACGAAGGTAAGATAAAATTACAGAGTAACTATGACAATCATTTAAAAAATAAATCAACTGTTAGAAAAATAAAAGATCAGGAAAAGTATATATCAGATCCTAGTATTACAACAGTTGCAGTTTTTGATTTAGAAAAAGTTCAAAACATTCCTCAATCTAATGTAGGAGTTTTTCATTATAAAAGAAAATACCCTGTGTATAATTTCATGGTTTTTGATTTATTAGCACGGTAAAGTCATTGTAGTAGGCGAAAAGAGGGTGCAAATGAAATTGCAAGTTGCTTATACTTTATAGAAAAAGGAGCTAAACGGGGTATAAACAGATTTTTTTCTATTTTGATAATTGTTCAGGTCAAAACCGTAATAGATTTTTTTATGTACATGTTCGCTTCACAAAAACTTTACACAGAAATTGTGCACCGGTTTTTGTAAACAGGCCATACGCAGAATGAAGGTGATGTTATGCATTCCTCAACTGAAAAAAAAGAAACATAGAATTATTTATACACCTGATCAAGTGTACGAAGTTATAACTAATTCTAAGTCAATCAATCCAACATTTACGATTTTAAATCTAAATCAACAGTAAATAGAAATTGGGCATGTGACCTAGACGGAAGAAAAATTTTGCTGTCGCACTTCAAATAAATAAAAGCAGATCCTAATTATCCGGAAAATTGTTCTATAAATGTAAATTTGAACAAGAGAATTACTACGTGCTGGACATTTGTAATCGTTCCTCGTCACGTAAACGTAAATGGAATGGAACACCAGCAGATATTGAGCTTAAACCCGCGTATAATGGTCCGTTACCTATCTCAAAAGCTCTACATAAAGATTTAAATAGTTTGTGTGAATTAAATGCTATACCGGCTTATTACCAAAGTTTCTTTAAAAACCTAACCGCTGAAAATGACATACTGCAAGACACGTCCGATGAGGATTAAGATTGTTTTGTAATCTTAACTAATTAGTTTTTCAATAGGTTGTATTTTGGTTATCCACATTAGAAGCTGCTTTTTAGTTTTATACGTATAAGTTTTTACTTTTTATAAGCCGTTTTCATATCAGCGGTGCCTAAATAATTGTGTGATATTTTATTAAATTTCATAGGTTTTAGTTTTGCTACGCTTGTCGGATGCTGTTTTTAATTCTTATGAGTATAAATGGTTTTCATGTCAGCAGTATCCAAATATTAAATTATAGTTTAATTATAAAACTTCATAGGTTTTCATTTTGTTATGCACGTCAGATGCTGTTTTTATATTTTGTATTTATATAAGAATAAGTTGTTACCACAAGGAAAATTCCTAAATAATTATGTACAATTAATAAATATTTTTTAATCCCATGATCTCATTTCATACTTAAGATAACTTTAATGTTTTAATTTAATTTTAGGTAAAAGATTTTTTTATTACTGTTTTTAATAAAACTTAAGTTTATATTGCCAATTAAAAATAGCGGCATGGTCTGGTATTTATATATAATAAGAATTATTTGATAAAAGAAAAAAATAATATGCTTTTTATTATTTTATTAAATATTTAACCCATTTTTTCATACAAAGTATACTTCCGTCATAAGAACATATTATCTAGAGAGAAAAGTTGTTAATGTTTTAACCACATATTCTTCTCATATTTTTCAAATAGAAAAAAGGCATAAAGAGTGCTTATTTTTATTATTCAACAAATTATTTTGGTGAAAAAAAGCATGATATTACTTCCTTTTCAGACTGATTCCATTCTATGGTGATGTATTCACGAATATTTTTTCTAAAATTATTAATTTTCTAAAGAACATTGGTGCATCTATTCATACATTTCTCTTGCAGAAAAGGAGGCCAATAAAGAGTAGCGTAATTTAAATAAAAGTTAATAACTAATTAAATATTAACTTCTATTTTTAGCTTGTACAATTAATGAAAAGAGTATTTTTTGACGCAATTTTTCATTAATAAGGTGAAACTGCCAGATTTTTTAATTAAAAGATATTAAGAAAAAACTAGTCCTTTTGCTCTCCTGTAAAATGTACTTTTTACACTTATGCTTTTGTTCTTCTCAAGGTACGACATGGTCACGGGGGACTGAAATGACTGACGTCCTGATGTCATTGTTAAACCCGGAGTACCTTCAGCTTTTTTAATTATTGTTTATGGTCCGATCTATGCAAAATGAACTATGTCCTGAGGTCTTGCAGTGGTATGCTTGGGTTTAGTTTTAATTTTATTGATTATAGGATCCCAAGCAGATGGTAGTACCCAGCCTCCTTCTCTATTGAAATTAGGATGTTTTTTAATTTCAATAGCCTCACGTATCATCTTTGGTAGGAATCGGTGTTCTTTCGCGAGGATTTGTGGTCTATCAAATCTGATGTAATGGTTGGGGCCGTCTAGGATATGATCGCAAACTGCAGCAACAACATATACGCGCTCGAGGCCAACTCTTGTGTGCATAAACGATATCTGTTTGCTTCGTGATTGCGTATGTTTACAAGCTTTTATTTAACTTGCAATGTTAGTAACTATGTATGATATTATCTTCAACCGATTGAGCTGAAATTTCGTATACACGTTTAGTTTGTATAACAATGCAATATTATGGTATCATGAAGCTGGTCTGATGATGAAGCCGTAAGGTGGCCTTAGGAACTATTCAAATTAAAATATAACCTCGTCGTGTTTATTCTTTTTAATGCATTATAATAAAAGCTTGCTTTCAAAAATATTTTTTTATGTACGTGATGTCCAGAGTTTCTTGATGAGCCGGAAGGTCATTGATAAAAAAACGACGTGCGTGCGTGTATTATAGGTACACTCCTCAATACACAACATAACATCGTCGTGTTTGGGCTCGTTGAATTTGTTTTGACAAGATCTTTAGACATGTGTGATTTCCAGGGTATCATGATGGAGACGGAAGGTGGCCAAAGGAACTCGTCAAATACACAATATAACCAAGTCGTGTTTATTTTTAGTGCATTAAAATAAAAGCTTGCTTTCAAAAATATCTTTTTTGTGTATTATATTATGTACTCAAGTAAATATAGAAGCTATGTTTATCTTTGTCTAGTACCACCATCTTGCCTCATTCTGTCTCCAAGCACTACTGTTTGTTCATATAATTGTATTCCGGTTTGAAGGGCAAGATAGCTAGCGGTCGTGGTCGGGCCACACCGTCTGACATCGTTATTACAGGCACATGACACGTGAGTAACACCTTGAAGTCTCAAGATCGGCAACACATTTTTTATTGTTTCAACTTTCGTCAAATTCATTTTTATTTGTAGTTTTTATACTTCTTGCTTAATGCAAAGCAGGATGCTTGTGACTGCAATTTAAAATACATATAATAATAATTATGTACTTTTTGTTTCATGTATGTACTTAAAAGATTTGCACAAGTCAAGAAAAAGCTCTTTGAAGATGATGAAATTTCTGAAAATGACAACATTGAAGACACTTCAAACAAAAATATTGTGAAGATAAACAAGAAACTTTTGAGCGTCAAAGAGAGACCAAGAAAATACCCGTCTCTAAGCGAAAATGATTGTTTATTAATTCCTTTAAACATGCCCAGGTGATGAAACGTTTAATACCATCTGGTGAACTTCCCATTTTAAATGAGTTTCCTGACGTCATTGAAAATTATATAAATGTCCAGCAGAGCAACAGATTTCAGAAAAAAATAAAAATCCAAGTCGAAAGAGAAAACGACAGCCGGAAACCTGGAAAAGAAATAATATTAAAATAAAAAGAGAAAGAGGAGAAGAGTACACAGGGGCAAAAGGAAAATGCATGCAGGCTAGAATTATTAAACCCGGGTGTGAAAGTATTTGTAAGCTTATGTGATCTACAAACTTCCCTTTGGCCCTGAGAGAAAAAATAAAATCTGAATTTTACAGCTTGACTGATGCCCAAAAATACAAATTTTACGGAAAATACACTGCAAGAACCAAAAAAAGTAGAACGCGAACTAAAAAAAGAAAGGTGTAAGAGAACGTATACATTTCACTATTATTTTCGTAAAGAAAACGAAATTGTTAAAGTCTGCAGAACATTTTTTTGTTCTACTTTGAGTATTTCTGCTCACAGGATTCATTATTTTCATTTAAAAATGGAAAAAAGTGACACACTCTTGCCTCCTACGCCGAGAAAAGGAAAATACATCAAAAAAGCAACACCGCCTGAAAAAATAAACGAAGTTATTGATCACATTAAATCGTTTCCAACAGTAGATTCACACTACTGTCGATCGTTTAGTACGCGCCAATATTTACAACCTGGGTTGAGTGTCTCAAAAATGTACTCATTATACGTGGAAAAGCATAAAGATCCTGTTAAAGAAAACATATACCGAAAAATATTCTGCGAACGATTTAATCTTGGCTTTCATCGTCCAAAAAGGATGTTTGCGATTTTTGTTCCTAGTTTAAGGCTCAAAAAAACCCCAGCAGTGATCTTATAGAAAAATGTGAGGAGCACTTACAAAGAAAAAAAGAGGGTGACGAAGAACGAGAAAAAAGACCGGAAACTGAAAACCAGTAAAAACAACGACACAGCCGTTGTAACTTTTGATTTGGAGAACATTTTTTCTCTGCCCAAAGCAAATGTGTCAAGTTTTTTCTATACAAGCAAATTGACCGTTTATAATTTAACAGCGCACTGTGATATTAATACAAGTGCCGTTAAAGCTTTGTGGGACGAGACTAGAAATGGAAGAAGTGGCGATGATTTAGCCAGTGCATTGGTTAAAATTTTAAAAGAAATAGTAAGTTTTTTACCAGATACTGTAACTAAACTAATACTATGGTCAGATTCGTGCGTCCCGCAGAACAGAAACTCACATATTATGAGTACTGCTATTATCAAATTTTTACAGTCCGACGTTTCCAAATATACATATAACAAGTATTACCCAAAAATTTTCCGAACCCGGCCATGGTAATGTTTAAGAAGTAGATTCAGTCCACAGCTTAATCGAACAAAATTTAAGACACCAAGAAATATACAGCCCTTTATCTCTACTATGTGCCCTACTAAAAATTAAATCAAATACTCTTAAACTATTTTTCATTCAAATGGAGGACTCTGATTTCTTGTCATTTCATTCAAAAGCTATAAAATTTGGTTTTTATCAAATACCTTACAAACGAATAAAGTCATTAACTTATTCGAAACAAGAGAAAATATTGACATAAGAAAAAATCAAATCAATGTTTTGAGTGAAATTACCTTAAAGGAAGCAAATAAAACACTCACCAAAAATAAAATTGACGATATTCGAAGCATGTTGAAATATATGCCGACAGAAGACAAAGTTTTTATGGAAACTCTTATTTAGAAAGCTGAGCGAAGGAAAGGGGAGAATGAAAAACTTGATTTGATTAAACCAAGCGATAAAAAAAGAAAATAAAAGAAGTACAAATGAGAAGAAGGCACTCATTAAAGTGAATGAAACTAAAAGTGAAAAGACAATAAGTAAAGGAAATAAAACCAAAAAAAAGCAAAATGTGAAGAAGTCTACAGAAAAGAAGACAGTAAGACAGTAAGAAAAACAAACGAAAAATAATATAGACTAGATTAATTTATTTTTATGATCAGAACTAGGTGACCCGTCAAACTGAAGCTACCCTTGAATAAAACTATTTCGGATGGGATGTTTTGGGAATTGAAATTGCCCCACCTACCCAATCTACCCTACCTACCCCACCTACCCTACCTACCCTGCCTACCTTACCTACCCGACCTACCCTACCTACCTGTCCCACCCTACCTACTCTACTACAATTAGTGCCGATCTGTGATTTAAGAACTGTCCAAAGATAGCGATTTCAAAAACTAAACTCAAAACTGCTAATATTGTTTTGTCACATAGATAGATCTTTATGCAAGGTATTTTTATACTGAACAATTTAATAAATAAATAGAAAATAAAGTGTTTTTTATTTAAATATCTATTACAACTTAGTTACTGGGGCTTCTTTGAAAGTAATCAGAGGATACTTGTGATGGGCATGCGATAAAATTATACATCCTGTACATACGTTTGGCATATCGAACAAATAAGCACGCAAAAATGGAACAGTCATTTTGGTCTATCTCTAATGACGTAATTCTAACTCCACATTCGTAATTACATTTGAGCATGTTTGTTCTAGCTCCAAATAAAAGCTGTAAAATAAGGTATAATTAATCACTATCAATAGATGATAATTATATAAATCCATTTAAAGGTAACCAATGCATTATAAAAGACTTTCAAATCTTAAAACTATAGCTTATTTTTGAAAATAGAGAAAAAAAACTTGTCTACCTGTAAAACTAACCAATGGTAGATAGTACAAATAAGCACTGAGGCGACGAGGAGTTGGTGGTGAAGACAAATCACTGATTAATTCCAAAGCAGTGATTTTTATTATTTTATTAACTGAGATCAATTCATGACCCCACATTTGTATTAGAAGCAAGAGTTCACGTATTCAATAAGTTCACAACTTTGTTACCATCTAAGAAGGTAGTTGTTCAAATGTGGTCAAAATTAAGAAACATGAATTTGACTGATCTCCGTTTTGATGTAACTAATAAAGGGGATTTACTTCTAGGTGCTGAAATTTATGGTCAAATCTTAATGGAAGGTGTTTTAAGAGGTCCTCCAGGAACGCCAGTTGCCCAAAAGACGAAATTAGGCTGGATATTGTCGGGCTTAATACATTCTAAGTCATCAGATTATAATGACCTAGAAACCGGACCGGCAGTTCTGACTTATAACGCTGTAGCTCAGGATGATTGTATATTGAAGAAGTTTTGGGAGCTAGAGACAGAACCTTCCACAACATCTGATAAAAAAGTATTCACAGAAGAAGAGCAGATGTGCGAAGATATATACCAAAAGACCACAATTCGTGATAAGGCAGGTCGTTACGTAGTAAAATTACCATTTCGCACTAATGAACCAAGCTGCAAATATGGTAACTTGAAGGATATTGCTTCAAAATGTTTGTATCGTTTGGAACAACGTTTGTCAAAAAATCCAGAGTTGATGAAGCAACATTCTAATGAAAGAATAATAATGAAAGAATTAGTAGAAGAGAAGAATTAGTAATGAAAGAATATCTAGACCTTAACCATATGGAGATTATTCCTATCAACCAGGTTAATAAATCAGATACGGTTTATTTGCCGCATCACGCAGTAGTTCGAAATGACAAAATCACGACAAAAGTTAGAGTTGTATATAATGCATCACAGAAGGGTATAAATGGATTTTCACTAAACGATGATCTTTTGGTCGATCCTAAATTGCAGCTTGATCTGAGATACATAATAGTGAGGTGGCTCAAGCATCACATATGCTTATTTGCCGATATAGTTAAATGTATCGGCAGGTGAAAATATCAGCTGAAGATACAGATTATTTGCGAATTCTTTGGCGCGATAATGAGAGCCGATTACATTATACACTTAGCGGCACAATTAACCGCCCATCCTTTTAAAGTGGCAAATTTTGATGTTATCGCAGTTGTAAGTTATTGGGCATAGATAAGTCAAGTGTGAAAGAAATGTAGTGACGAAAAAATTACAAGCTACCCACTTAAATTTGTTTTTTACGCATAAGTTGTGAATAGGACAAATATCGAACTTCGTCTCATTATCGTTATCGTTGCCATACTGCTTACATTGCTTCAGTGGCATTAAAAGTAAACAATTTGAGTTTGTTTTGGTTTCGTAACTTAAAGCTAGTGTTTGGACATCACAAACATGCCATTTGATGCTAATTCAGTGGCGAAAGCCGTCGCTCTTATCGACGAAGGGTTTAGTCAGCGTTACGTGGCGCGGAAGCTTGGTGTCGCACGTACCACCTTAAGGGATGCAGTGAAACGGTTTCGGGAAACTGGCTCTTATGAGCGAAGACCAGGACAGGGCCGAAAAAGATGCACCTCCGCTCGTGACGACCGATTTCTTGTGACCAATGTTCTAAGAAATCGGTTCACTACAGCTGTTGAGGCACGAAACCAACTTCGTGAGGTTCGCAATGTCCAAATGAGTGAAAGAACAGTGACAAGAAGACTAGGAGAGAATGCCCTTGGAGCTTTTCGACCATCTCGAGTGCCACAATTGCTCCTAGGCCACCGGAGAGAAAGACTTCGTTTTTCCCGAGAGCACGCCGAATGGAATATGGAACAATGGAAGAACGTTATGTTTACTGACGACACAAGAATAAGCTTGCACGGTCCTGACGGTCGCCAGCGTGTATACAGACGCAAGAATGAAAGGTTTGCACCATGTACTGTTATGGAAACAGTACGTTACCAAGGTGGCTCTATCATGATATGGGGCGGCATTACTTACGAAGCACGCACCGACTTGGTTATCTTCGAAAGAGGTGGAATAAATGCTCAGAGGTATGTAACAGAAGTATTGGAACCTCATGTAATGCCATTTGCTCCATTTATTGGGGGAGGGGGTAAGATTTTTTAATAACCCATTCCTCCCCACTGTCATATTTTTAAGGACACTATTAACAAAATTTCTTTTTTACGTATTAGGACTTTTATTTTTATTATTTCTGTTAAAATTCATATTTTTACACTATTTTTCTAATAAAATAAATTTTTTTCGCAGTAAAAAATGTTTACGTAATTTTAATATAATTTTTTTAAAATTGATCATTTTTGTTGACTGAATGAGAGCATTGAGTTACGATTGTATATACCCTAAAAGAAAACCGTTCCTACTTCAAAGTACAGAAGATTTATTCTTAGACCTCTACCAAATATAAAACAAACAAAAACAAAAACAAAAAACAATTTGTGAACTTGTGATATACATTCAAAATAAGCCGTCCTATAAATATGACACTGGGAACCTGTCACTGCACAATTTTCCGCGAAAACGTGTTCGATCCTGTCACGCTAAGTACAGGTTCAAACTGGTCAATTGTTTGTTTTTTGCGGGGTCTTGCTTGTGTTTACATTAGTCGATTAGTCTACGCCAAACACATTACATCTCGTCACACGAAACGATTGTGATTGTTTATAGACCTAGATCCTAGAGTAAAAAAGTGAATGTTTACAAGGTTGAGAAATTATAGGTAAGTAAAAATATTTTATTTTTGTTCTTTATCTAATTGTAAACAATATACCTGTCTATATGATTATAAGTATTCGTGTGGCTATATATTTATATTTTCTATTTTTTATTATTTATAGATCATGGATCCAGTGCAAAAAAAAGTATAAAAAAGCCTTGAAGGTGTCCGAAATCGTAGACTATCTTCAAGATATTGAAGATTATAGTGATGAGGAGTTGAATGACATTGAAGTTGCCATATTGCCGCCGGATGAGGTAGATGAAATGACTGACATAGAAGAAGGTCATGACTACGATATGGGAGTTTTTCCAGTGTCTGATGTAGCTGGTCAAGTGGAATTTTCGTGCACGATCGATAATGTCGCGGAAAATCTACTAGTGCTAAGTTAAATTTTCAATGAAATATTCCCTATTAATCAGTTCTTCAGTTTTTAAGATTCCAAAATGTCCTTTTTCGTGATTTTTCCTGATTATCTCATACTGCATTTTCTTAGGCACAACAATCAATTTACTGCCATCTTTCTCTTTATATAGTATTTCGTTCTGTATGATATAATCCTTGTATTTTTCTGTTTCTAAAATTCTTTTAATCAGTCTCACATAGTCGTCTTCATTCTGTGCTTTCTTTAAACGAGCTGTAGTTTCAGTAAGTATCATACAGATAGGATATCTGCTCAGTGCGTCGGCGTGTCTCATTCGTGTTCCTGGTCTGTGTTCGATCTTGTAGTCGTATTCTTCTAGAAGCAGGGCCCAACGAGCGACTCTAGGTGGTAAGTCCTTTTTTTTGTAGTGTCATAGTAAGAGCAGAGCAATCTGTAACTATTTTAAATTTTATCCCAAGAAGGTAAACTCGGAACTTCTTTATGGCAGCAACAATAGCTAAAATTTCTAAGTAATAACTATGGTATTTTCTTTCAGCTGGAGTTGTTTTTTTTACTCATATAGTGCACGGGGTGAAATTGATTGTCTTTAGGGCTTCTTTGTAGAAGAACAGCTCCATAACCGTCAGTACTTGCCTCGGTGTGTAATTCTGTCTCTAAATCTGGATTGAATATTCGGAGAACTGGTGAGTTACACAATATTTGTTTCAATTCTATAAAAGCTTTCTCACACGTTTCATCAAAATTGAATACAGCATCTTTCTTTAACAAATCCGTCATCGGTTTTGCAATCAGGTAATAGTTTTTTATAAACTTTCTGAAATACCCCTGCCAGTCCAAGGAATGACTGCACAGTTTTTATATTGTTTGGTTTCTTGAAATTCGCTACATTCGCTACTTCTTTTTCCTTCTTTAAAAAATGGCATTTCTTCCAATTAAACTCTAGACCGAATTCTTCGCTTCTTTTAAATACTTTCTCTAGCTTACTTATTCCTTCTTCTTCTGTTATCGAGGGTATGATTAAATCATCAAGGTACACTAGCAGTGTCCCATCGGTAATTAGATAGCTGAAGATATCGTTAATACAGTTTAAACAGTCCCACAGGATGCATCATCCGAGATCGTCGGTAATGAGGCTGTACTTGCCGCGAAAGCATGGTGGGCGTGGCTTCTTGAGCGCGCTCACCATGCATAATCGCGAAGTGTGCAGCCTCCGTAATTACTTCCTGGCGAGATCGGATGATCCATTCTATAAGGACGTCATTTCTAGTGATAAAGGACTTACCCCTCTATCCTTAGCCAACGAGCAATGGCAAGACCCGGCAGTGCAGACAATTTCCGACCGGGAGAACGTATGGAAGGAGAAGGAGCTCCACGGGAGGTTCTACAAGGCTCTACATGAGCCTTTCGTAGACACAGTAGCCTCCCTCCACTGGCTACGCTTTGGTGATCTATTCGGGGGAAACCGAGGGTTTTGTCTGTGCAATACAGGATCAGGTTATTAAGACCAACAACTATCGGAGATACATCCTAAAGGATGGCACCGTGGACATCTGTCGAGCTTGTCGCCATCCCGGTGAGTCACTTAGGCATGTCATCTCCGGTTGTTCGGCGCTTTCTAACTCTGAGTACTTGCACAGGCACAACCTAGTAGCCAGAATTCTTCACCAGGAGCTCGCTCTGAAATACGGTCTCGTGGATCGGAAATTGCCGTATTACAAGTACTTGCCGGAAGCCGTGCTCGAAAATGATCGCGCCAGGCTCTATTGGGACCGGGCCATCATCACAGACAGGACTATTCTTGCGAATAAGCCTGATATTGTGCTGATGGACCGGGCACAGTCAAGGATATTTTTGGTCGACATTACCATTCCGTATGACGAAAACCTCGTGAAAGCCGAAACAGACAAGCAAACAAAATATCTGGACCTGGCTCACGAGGTGACTGACATGTGGGGTGGTCTGCCGACCGAAATTATTCCTGTAGTCGTCTCTGCAAACGGGCTAATCCCAGTCAGCCTCTCGGGTCATCTGAGGCGACTGGGACTACGTGGCGGATCGCTCCGGGCTCAAATGCAGAAGGCGGTGCTCCTCGATACCGCCCGCATCGTCCGCCGGTTTCTTTCCCTTTCCCCCTAACCCTCGGCCGTTTGGTCTCCCCTGCCGAGGGCCTCCATCTGGTTGGGCTTTTATTTATTTATGTATTTTTATATTTATTTTATGTTATTGATATTTATGTATATTTATCTTTTCATTTTCATTTATAATTATATATTTATAGAACCCAACCAGATGAGAAAACTATATAGATACCCCACAATAATAATAAATGGAGGGCTCCGGGAGGGGATTTCAGCTTCGGAAAGGAGGTACAAAAGTGACCCACCTTTTCTATATGGATGACCTCAAATTATTCGCCTCCAGTCGCTCCCATCTTATGGAATTGCTAAACATCAGGTGTGAATTTAGCAATTCTATTAGAATGGAGCTGGGGACGGATAAGTGTGCGGTCCTCCATGTTGAAAGGGGAAGGGTTGCTAACTCTGAGGGCATAGACTTATCTATGTTCGTCAACTTAAGAACCCTTTCCGAGGCTGAAACATACCGATACCTGGGTATGTCACAGAACATCGGTATCGATGAGGCTGGTATGAAACAGTCAGTTTGCGACGTGTTTTATGCATGCTTGATCAAAGTGCTTAACAGCCTTTTGTCCGGTGTGAATAAGGCACACGCATATAACGGTTGGGTCATGCCTGTCCTCATGTATACCTTTGGCATACTCAGGTGGACTCAGACTGAACTTAACGCCCTGGATAGAAAAGTCCGCACTATCATGATGTCCCATAGGATGCATCATCCGAGATCGTCGGTAATGAGGCTGTACTTGCCGCGGAAGCATGGTGGTTGTGGCTTCTTGAGCGCGCTCACCATGCATAATCGCGAAGTGTGCAGCCTCCGTGATTACTTCCTTGCGAGATCGGATGATCCATTCTATAAGGACGTCATTTCTTGTGATAAAGGACTTACCCCTCTATCCTTAGCCAACGAGCAATGGCAAGACCCGGCAGTGCAGAGCATTTCCGACCGGGAGACCGTATGGAAGGAGAAGGAGCTCCACGGGAGGTTCTACAAGGCTCTACATGAGCCTTTCGTAGACACAGTAGCCTCCCTCCACTGGCTACGCTTTGGTGATCTCTTCGGGGAAACCGAGGGTTTTGTCTGTGCAATACAGGATCAGGTTATTAAGACCAACAACTACTATCTACTACAACTACATCCTAAAGGATGGCACCGTCGACATCTGTCGAGCTTGTCGCCATCCCGGTGAGTCACTTAGGCATGTCATCTCCGGTTGTTCGGCGCTTTCTAACTCTGAGTACTTGCACAGGCACAACCTAGTAGCCAGAATTCTTCACCAGGAGCTCGCTCTGAAATACGGTCTCGTGGATCGGAAATTGCCGTATTACAAGTACTTGCCGGAAGCCGTGCTCGAAAATGATTGCGCCAGGCTCTATTGGGACCGGGCCATCATCACAGACAGGACTATTCTTGCGAATAAGCCTGATATTGTGCTGATGGACCGGGCACAGTCAAGGATATTTTTGGTCGACATTACCATTCCGTATGACGAGAACCTCGTGAAAGCCGAAACAGACAAGCAAACAAAATATCTGGACCTGGCTCACGAGGTGACCGACATGTGGGGTGGTCTGCCGTCCGAAATTATTCCTGTAGTCGTCTCTGCAAACGGGCTAATCCCAGTCAGCCTCTCGGGTCATCTGAGGCGGCTGGAACTACGAAGCGGACCGCTCCAGGTTCAAATGCAGAAGGCGGTGCTCCTCGATACCGCCCGCATCGTCCGCCGGTTTCTTTCCCTTTCCCCCTAACCCTCGGCCGTTTGGTCTCCCCTGCCGAGGGCCTCCATCTGGTTGGGCTTTTACTTATTTATGTACTTTTATATTTATTTTATGTTATTGATATTTATGTATATTTATCTTTTCATTTTCATTTATAATTATATATTTATAGAACCCAACCAGATGAGAAAACTATATAGATACACCATAATAATAATAATGTCCTTCGGACCGAATTCCGGTCACGGCGGCCTGCCTCAATGGAGGCTAGCCATCGGCGCAGGACAGGATAATAGTGCCCAAGTGTATGCGTAAGCACAGGTGCACTCTCTATTCCCTCACTCTCATAATCCGATGGGACGGTAAACCGACACGACCGGAGAGAGATCAGGCGCAGGACCAACGGCTTTACGTGCTTTCTGAGGCACGGGGGTGAGATAACGCCAACTTCCTGACTCCGGGCAACTACTGAGAATTTCTTGACGGAAAAACTCAATAATTATTTTTTTGGCCCGACCCGGGATTCGAACCCAGGATCTCATGATCAGCAGTCGCACTACTACAACCACTAGACCAACGAGGCAGTCGATAACGAGGTATAATACAATATACTAAAAACAGTACGCCAAGATCTCAAAACAGACCAAAATGTTTTATGCACTACATCGTTCGATAATTATTATTTAAATATTTTGATTTTACAATGTGAAAAAACTGCCGTCGATTCTAATGGTTGCAATAATACTTTAACTTTACATGAGGATTTCTTAGTTGATTCTTAGTTGAGAGATCTAATGACTGCAACCAATCTACAACCACAGAAAATGTAAACATCAAAACTAATGATTGCAACCAACTTACAACGAAAGAAAATTTTCAAAAAAAAAACGGATACAGATACGGATTTTTTTGTAGTTAGTTCTTTGGAACTAACTACAAAAAAAGGCAATACGAAGAAAATTGGTTGAGAATAAAAAACAGAAAAATTCAGGCCAAGCTTATGCCTGTAGTAATTCGAAAAAAAGTTTGAATTCAAAACAAAGGATGACGCCTGTAAATGTAATAAGAAATAGGGTGAAAAGATTTCTCAAGTCTCTCGGCAGGCTACATTCGAAGAATTTAGAAAATTTAGTGATCACGAGGATCAGTG